GTTTTCTGAAGAGGAGGTGAAGATCGTACTTAGAAGTGTAGCAAACGGCAAGAGTGAGCATTTGGATGGCCTGTTCATTGAGCTTCTCAAGTGGAAAGGAGACAGTATTGTACCATTCTATACCAAAGCTTTAGAAGATGCTTTTGTCTACGGTTTTACTCAAATTTGGTCATTACCGAAGATTATTGCTATCCACAAATCCGGAAACAAAGACGTGGCGACGAACTACCGAACTATCATGATGGGAAGTGTTTTCACAAAGTTGTTTGAGAAGTTGTTGGAATCAGAGTTGAATACTTGGACATAGAGTTTCCATATAAAATCACGACTGCAAGCCAGTTTCTGCCCAACATACAACGCTATCGATCATATTCTGGTTCTGCGTGTATTATGAAAAAAATCTAAAGGCAGCAATAAAACTCTATTTTGTGCCTTCATAGATTTCAAAAAAGCTTTTAACACGGTGTCTCAAAAGCTTTTGTGGGAAAGGTTACAATACATAGGAGTTTCGTCTAATCTCATGGGAGCAGTGACCACGTTATACAACTCAATTCGGGCCAAGTTCAACGTTTCCCAACCAAGAGAAATTTTGAGTACTATTGGAATCATTCAAGGTTGTCATGTCTCTACAACTTTATTTGGAATTTTCATAGATGATATAGAAAGATGGTTAGACAAAAGTGATAGTGAAGGTGTTAAGCTTGGAAACTCTACTATCAAAGCTTTATTGTACGCAGATGATATTGTCTTATTAGCACATGATGCTATCAGTTTACAAAAACATTTGAACACATTAGCAAACTTCTGTACCGAGAATGAGATGGAGGTCAATTATGAGAAATAAAAAATTATCATAGTAGATACTAGATCCGATTTTTCTTTATGTTACAAAGAACCAGAGTTAGAACAAGTGAAGGTTTACAAATACTTAGGCATTGATTTTTCTCATGACTATAGTTGGTCACATTGTGTGCAAAAGAGAATAGAAGCGGGTTACAAAGCTATCTATTCACTTTTAAATAGATGTAAGAGAGCTCATCTTGTATTTGGAAACTTCGGAAGTTTTTTTTAAGACTCTAGTGTTGCTAGTGATTTTATACGGCATCCAAGTATGGAACACTTGTTGTAGAAAGACAGGTTGGGAACGTCTGGAGAAGATTAAGGAGATATTCCTGCAAGAAGAACTTAGGGTGAGAAACTAAACTCCCTATGTCATACTAATGGCAAAAACATGTTTACTTCTTGTAGAGATTGAAGCTTTCAATCTGACCATCAACTACATTGCACGGGTAAAATCTCCTAGTCCTTCTCGAATTACTCATCAAGCTTTACAAGACACACGTTCCAAAGGATGGTTCTCAAATGTGGCGGCTTGGTCCTCAAGATGGAACGTGGAGCAACGACATTGGAACATGCATACATTGGCACTTTGCCAATATCTATAGGAAAAGACTCTCAATATTCTTTGGAGCAGTTCCCGCACCAAAGTGGAGTTCTATAGACATCATGTAAACCCAATGCTTGTTTACTGTCAACAAGAATATTTACTTGCTAGTATTTCTACTTTTTTACGTCATATTATTGCAGGGCACAGAACAAGATATAACAGTTTACATATTGAGGAAGTACGGTGGCATAACATTGAAAGAATTGAACATTTCTGCACTGTATGCGAGTGCAGGGATATGATGATGAAGAGCATGTGTTTATTATTTGTTCTAGATATAGAGAGATTAGAATATCTCATAAGATTGTTGTTATGAATTTTTATTCTTTACTTCAACTCGAGCGTTACCCTTTAGGTTGCTACTTTAGAGATGTCGTTGCTCTTACTACTTTAGAGAAGGTTCTCCCCTTGGTTTCGACTGGTTGATTGTTTTGTGTTCTTTTTAGCCTTTTCACCCTTCGGATCCCTCGGGCTTGATTTATTATCATTACCATTATAAATCTGAAAGTTTCTTCAACCGAACAAATTGGATGTGAGTGAGGCGCCGATTAGAATAAAAAGCCCAAGACCGACGAAATGGCTGGTACTCGCGCACTGTACAAGGAACTGACTGCTTTTGTTCTTTATTGCTTGCCGTTTAAGACATTAAACCTCACCAACATTTTGTTTGATAATTTTATTGGCTAAAGTTTTTTAAAAGGTCTTCGACAACCCGGAATGATGGAAGTGACACTCTACTCATTTCCGCTTTGTTCGAGTCTATCGATGACCCTTGGCGAGCGAGCATCGGTTACCTACGCTTCTCTTTCTCGAAAGCATTGGACGGCAGAACTCGAATCTGATCATTTTCTATTTCCTCCTTCGTGCTGTTTTTGTTCAGGCTAACTTTGGGCGACTTTACCGACATGGGACGAGGAGATAAATTCGTACTGACCTTCTTCGTCATGAAGTTTCGTATACATATAAATAATTGAAATAGCCTATACATTTACAGAAACTAAAGTTTCGTGTGTGTATATATATATATATATATATATATATATATAACTTCAAATAGATGGATGCCAGAGAAGTGTCGCACATATCCCAGAGCATGAAATGATTTTCTGTTAAATCATCCATTTCCGATTTCCTTCTTGTAAGAACCCTCCCTTGTCGACACGAGTGTTCGTTCACGGCGCTCTGTGACTAATTAAGCTCCATTCGGCCTCATTCTCCCTCATTCCCATTCTCAAATAATCACGCACTTGGCTTGACGCCACACGGGAAATGCCGTTTGACTGGAGGATGAAACTTAGCGGTTTTTCATGGAAGAGATCTGCTCTCCTTTTCTTTTGGGCTGCTTGGATCTTTTGAAGCTTGCTTTGGCTTTGGCTTTTGCTTTCTACCTTATTCAATTAGACTCCGTCGAGCTTTTCAATCTATGTGTCTCCTTGTGTGTCCAAGAATGAGACCTCGAGGTCGATCTGACATTCTATTTCTAAAGTTTGGAATGGTCCAAAATGTTTTTTCGATTTCCAGCTTAGAAATCTACTCCGCTATAAAAGGTGGGTAAACCACGAGAAATAGACCGATGGGATTTGGGTCATCAAATTTGTAAAGAGAAATTAGTCCGTTCCTTCTCCTTCCAGCTTACAGACCCAATCCTGGCAATGCCAATCATTCGCATGAATAGATTCACCTTTTTTTATCTGCGTCTCGTTGGCCAGAGTTTTCCTTCGATTTACGACAAGAGATGCGATCCACGTGAAGGTTATCATAACCAGAAGAAGAGTTTATGGACTAAAAGAATGGACGTCGTCAAATTTCTAAACATCGGAAGGATGTATTTTCGTTCCTTCAGCTGTATCACCAGATCGTTACAGTAATTCTCCGTGGTCGAGGCTGCTTGCCCAACTAGGCAATTTTTTAGCTATCCACTTGGCCTCACTCTTTCCACCGAGCAGTAGCCTGTTCTCACCACAGGCCCGGATGAGGAGAAGATATGCACTATTTCAGATCGTTCCCGTTTCATCAGATGGAAATGGAAAGAACGTCCTTAGATCAGGAATCGGCATAGCTGAACCTGCGGCGAGGTCTGTCACAGAATCCCAACCTGACGAGGAGAGCGGAATGTCATTTAGCACCACGTTCGCGTACGCGGCTTCCCGCACACATCTCAAACTCACATCTCGTTTGGACTCCGCTGAAGGAACGTACACACAAAGTACACATCGATAACCTCAACACCTTGACAGCTGCAGGGACGAAAAGTGAATTAATTCAGTGACAGGTCAAACTAGACAGCGGTAAATCCTCCGAGAAATTCCGCTCCCGTTTCTTTGCCCACGACACAAATATAGAAACAACTTAGCTACGTGTGTGCAGCAGATCATATCAACTTGCAGTCATGTATCTTTAACTCGTTCTGGACCGCCCTTACTAATGCAGGTGATATTAGGGGTCCTGTCGGAATCAATTCGATCGCTTTACTTCTTCTGGTGATAATAGGGGAGTGGTCTTTTCTTGCGTTTCTTCGGCTTTAGCTTGTATAGCTGGAGATGGTTTCCTATCGCGCTTTTTTCCCATACAAATTTCACTCATTAATAGCGACGAAGATAACGAGCAGATTTCGGAGGCCGCCGGAGAACATGGACCACACAGTTCATTCAAGGCACATCTTCAACTGCAGATCTCATTCGGGCAGTTGCCCTGTTCGCAAAGCTGTGCATCGTGTCCATCGAAGATCCGCACTCGACAACACAAATAACCACCTCATGCCCAAACTCGACAGACCGATGTCTTTCCACAAGCAATGTGCAGCAGCACTATGCAGAGGAGACATTCAAACAACTTCGTCATCCATCAAGCGCTAATTCTATAATGGTATAATACCATTCTCTCCGTAAACGTGACCCATTCAGCCAGAATCCATCCAACCAGTTAATCCTGCCAAAAAATGCCTACACCGCGGCTCCCAATGTCACAAATCCATTACATTTATCTCAAATCCACCCACCCAACAAATCGATCTTCTGAGGCTCACAATGAGCCAACAATTCTCGAATCCCCGGCACGCAAAACCTTTCGAATTAAAACACATATTCCACAATTTCGAGTTAAGAAAAATTGCCAGAAAAGCAAAATGATTGGGATGAAAAAGAGGTAGGGGAGGAACACAGATCCCAGAATCATTTGTCCTGCCCTGCCCTGCCTGCCCCACTAGCCTGTAGGAGCAGATAGAGGGGTCCAGAAATCACGAGCGGAATGAGGAGAGGGACCTGAGAATCACGCTGACTCTGAGCCATTAGCCGGAGCCACGATCGAGGTCAGGCGATGCTGCGGCGGCCCGAATAATCAAGAGGGCGACATCCATCCGGATAGGCTCGACACGTCGCCCGACTGCTTTCGCCCGCAACCGAGCCCGGGCAATCCAGTCAGCACATCGCCCGGCCTCGTCATCCGTCGGAGCGTCGGGGCCCGTTGCGGGCGAGCGGGCGGGCGGCCGGGGCGGCCGGGGCAGGGCAGCGCGGGTGGGAAGAACGAAGGCCCGGACGAGGAGGCAAATGTCGACGATGGTGTTGGAGCTGTGGAGTTTCGTGACCGCGAGGGGCAGCAGCAGCAGCAGCAGGAGCAGCTGGTCGTGAAAAGCACGGGCTTGCGCAGCAGCGGACGTCATTTGTGCGGAGATAGGTTTGGCGAGTGGGAGCAGGCAGGCAGGATAGTCAGTGACCGCGCGGGCGGAGCGGGTGTGGGCGGATTTTTTTGAGCAAGTTGCGATTTGGTGCGTGAGTTGTATGTGAGGCGGTGTTCGTGACGAGGAGTGGATGTTGCTTGGAGAGTGATTCGTGCGCTGCCGGTGGGTGGATCCGACGATTGCGTCACAGGAAGACCGGGATTCGAATAGATTAAGTTTGATATATTTGTAAAATATTGGCTCGAGCGAGATCTCTCGGTGTGATCGCTGCTGCATTCGGTGGACGGAGCTTTTAGAGAGCGAGCGAGCCGGCAGGCAGGCGGGCGAGCAGGCGAGGGCGAAGAGGAGGACGAGAACAACTCGTGAGGAAAAAGGTTGGTTGCTCGCATTCCTTCTGTTCCGTTCTGTTCCGTTCTTTTTCTTTGTGGTCTGGAATTGCTTCCCCGTGAGGAGTCGCGCCAAGTACCAGGTTCACGTTTCCTCTCTTGCGTCGGCGGGGGTAGGGTGATTCTCGATTTGTTTATTCGGGTCGGACAGTGGAGGAGATCTCATCTGTGAGTGGGTACAAGAGGAGCCTGGCAGTCGAAGGTTGCAGTTTTTGTTGTAAAAGGCTTGCTTTTCCTCTGCAGATGTTGCTGTCTTCGGGATTTATTGGGCTTTGTGGTGACTTGGGTACACGGTGAGTGAGTCGAGTTAGTGATTGCTTCTTCCTTCTGACCGCGTGTGACCCTTTTGGTCATATTCACGCCGCGGGCGTTTCTTCGGTAGGCTGGTAGCAGTGAGCAAAGATCCCACCATCAAATTTTGGCGCAGTTTTAGGCTGTTAGGTGCAGGAGGGACAGGGGAGCGGAGGAGACTCGGATTATTTGGGAGTGTAGATTAGATTGGACTCTTTTCGAATCGTGCAAATCGAGCGTTGATTGGAAGATTAGAGATCAGATTGTAAGGCAGGTTGAGGGAGTACAGCTCGGGGTTGGCGTTGAAAGCCTTCTTTCTCTAGTTCCACATTCCATTCTGTCCCATCTGTTGGGTGGAAGCATATCTTCGTCGTGACTAGTTGAAATCACACGCGGACCTGCACAGGTATTCGGGAGTTTTTCTTGTGCACCGAGGAGGTTTTTGGGATCAGCGAGTGATAGCAGGTGGCCCTATTGAACCTGGTGTACGGACATATTGTTTTAAAGCACACTGACTCCGTGATTTTATACAGGAATGCGAAGTGAACCCAGGGCGTAGGAATGGCAGGTTCATCGGTTTCCTTGAGTCAGTTTCACACTAGACTATCTCCACCTTCAGCTTTATGGACCGCAGATAGACCTCTGTCAATCAGGACTAAGGTGTTCGAGACTTCCCCTTCAGCGTCGCCGACGAGCACGAAAAGCCCGACAGCAGCTTTGTTGAGAAGTCCTCTTGCCTTCGATGTGAATGCATCCTGTTCTAGTCCAAGATCTTCGTTTGGGACAAATTCTTGTGCAAGTCCACGTACCGGCCATGTTGGCAACGGCGCACCACAATTTCAATCAAGTACAGCCACCGGAAGTGTCTCCGATCCGTCATTTCTCTACGTCAAACCTCAAACACAAATCGAAAAGCCGGTCACACTCTACGATGTACTGGGCATCTCTGATCTGGTGACCGATGATGAGATCAAGGCCGCGTTTAGAAGTATGGCGAAGAAATTTCATCCAGATCAAGCTCCTCCAGAAAAAGTCAACGATTTTCAGCAGAAGTTTATGGAGGTTCACAGGGCCTACTCGATACTCAAGGATCCGCGAACAAGGGCACTGTATAACTATGAGATTAAGAACACTCTTCTCAGCAGACAGTGGAGACATGACGAGCGGAAAGGACAATGGCGTGGGCGCAACTGGGAAACCGACCAATGCTGGTAGGAACTCCTGTCTGGCTTCATATGAGAGGTGGAGAATTTGATTAAGGCTGAGAGCAGATTCAAGTTTCTCTTCATGCGTGCAAGTTTGAGTTGATCACACGTTCTGAGACAATCTTGCGATGCCTCGTGCATAACCTTGAGCCGCTTCACGAGAAAGGCTGTCAATATTTTTATCCCTTTGAAGTGGTAGCTATTCGTGGAATGATCTGTTGCCGATCTTTCGTCAGTTTTTTCTCGGTTTGCGTTGGGCACACAGAGCTGACACCGTCGGAACTCGGATTCTCCAATCGGTGACCTCATCAGTCCAAGTACATGGGTCTGGACTGGAAATATCAAGTGTTAGGCTGTGTGATCGGGAGAGATTATTGATCATTCAGCCTGACAGAATAGACTTAGTTACCTTGTCAAGCTATCCTATATTGCAATCACGACGATGATTTCCTGGGAATGCCTTGTCAAAATTTCATGCTCACAGCTCCGCCTCCGCATCTTATTCTCAATTGGAGCCGCCTTTTGTATGCCCAGACGTATCCTCCTGAACTGCCGACAGGCTGCGCCGATTATTTTAGGACCAGTGAGTTGTGTTGAATTGTGTGATTGTGCTATGCCCTACGTTGTGTGTCTGCAAGTCTCACAGTCTCACAGGCATACTACACGTGTACAATGTCGTTCACCGGTTTACCTGCAAGTTGGATTGTACTAAGCGTTACCTTGTAAATTGGAGGAGCTATAGGGAGACTTAAAACCTGTAAAAATGTGAGGGTACATGGGAACAGCTTGGTATTTGTATTTTGATCGCAGTAAATATCCTCCTTCTTCATGCAGGAGTTGACCTTCGATTAGCATCATGGCGATTGTCATTTTCACTCGTCGTCGATTCCATTGAAACTAGCACTGATGGCTCCTCAACATTCCCGGTGTGTGTGTGTTTGCAGGACCTTGTAGGCTGTAAATCATATAAGCTGAATGTGAATCGTCTGTAGCAGGGTGTAGTGTCCGAATTTGAGCAGACGTATTCAGTCAACATATCATCGGGAATCGGTAGCAGAATCCTGGGGTATTGTAAACTGTGCGTGACCTTCCATTTCTTCGAATTTGGTCCCGGAGAGTTGTGTGTCGTCTCCAGCCGAAGGCCTGCTGGGAGATACAAGTCGCTTCAATGTCGTAACATGAAGCACCATCGAGCTGGTCAGGTCATGTATCATAAGCGGAGAGTTGGTGACGAAGATTGAGGATACAGATTTGGTACCTTTCAGTTTTGCATCTCCCCTCCTATCAGAGATAGTGTTATATAATAATGGACAGGAGGCATGTGTTGTCGTTGCCTTATGTAAAATACCCAAATCTAGAAAGAAATATGTGAAGTTCTCTGGAGGTCCCTGTACATTACCTCCGTCCTCTAGCAGTCAATCTGGTAATGCAAATCCAGCCGAAGGATTCCAGTTTTGACCTCCATTGGTATGTCCCATGTTAGGTAGACAAAGGATCACGGAAGTAGTTTTTTGTCTCATCGCCGTGACTGTCTAGTCTGCTTTTGCTGTGGTTCCCACTTTACAACTACGAGACGGTACATGGCGGTAGTAAACATTTTTCGAGGCAGAGTAGAAGATGCAGGGAGCTTTGGCAGTTCTGTCATTTTGAAAAGGTAAAGAAGTTGTATACTACTTACTTTCGCGCAGATGTTTTTGTTCATGAAGAATCATGGTGTACTTCCTGTGATCTTGGAATACAAAGAATCTTCAGATCTTAAAGCCCTCTGTTGTTTTGAAGCGTTACCTTCATCGCCTCTATTGGTCACCTCAAGTGCAAAACTTCTGTTATTTTTTCACCTCTCTTCATCCTCTCGTCTGGAACGATCCGCCTGTCTATCGTCAATGAGGACGAAGTCCATCCTTGTCTTGTGTGACTGGATGGTGAGCTTTCGTCGTTTCTCTAGCAGTTCATATCTCTCTAGCAGAGCATACCACTTTTGCATGTTTTGTACTTTCTCGGTAAGCGGGAGTTTCTGTCTGTCGAACCTCGTTGGCGCGAGTGGGCCGGATTTTTGCAAAAGGTTTTGTAACGCACTCAATCTGTCCGATCAGCGGGATAATCATCATGACTTGCGTCCTATGCCTCACCCAATGAGTTTGCATGGGTCATTGACGGTGAGGGTTGCTTCGTCACTCGGTGCTTCAGAGGGTTGATGTGTGTATATAAAGTATCCGCATAATCCTCGTCATTCAATTTTTAGATTTGTCCATCAGTCTCTGGTATGTGTACCTTCATCCTTGCATATGGGAAAGTAAAGTGAATGAACGAAAAATGATCATGAACATACTCTAAGCCAGTTGACAATTGCGAGTAATATTTCATTGTTGACAGAACATTTTCCTGCAAGAAAAATCACGAATTAATATCTTTGTAGTAGAAGAATTTGAATGAGAATTTGACGAACAATGTTGAAGGTGCAGCCAATTCTACGATACACTCCAAGCAGGCTGCAGCCCAGATTCGCGAGCCGCAGCTCCGGCAATCATGACTGACAAAAGGCCGGTCAGTTTTGCATGTCCCAACAGGGTTCGTGGATAGAACAGACTAAATCTTGCAGTGTGGTATAGCTCATATTCTCTCCGTGCCAAGACCTGTCGTCTGCCTTTCCTTTCCCGCATGTCGATACACAAGTACCTTGCATGAAAAAGAGAGACCTTCCACTGATCTTCTTCTCATCTGGACGTACCAGAGGGAAGAAGCACAATTCCTAATTAGACACAAAGAAGGTTATTGCAGTACGGAGCGGGACGAAGGAGACACAGCAAAATATAAACTGCATCCATGCATCGAGCGCAAAGAATGGAAAACGATCGCACGCACTCATGAGCCATGAGACCGAAACCATCGTGATGAACTTTCCAGCCGCACAGCACAGCTCCCGTCAGTTAACCATCAAGCAATCAATCGAGGGCCATTGTCAGAGAACATGCTCAGATCACTGCCCAACCCAAAATGCGACTGCAAACAGGAAATAGAAAAGCGCAACCACAAATAGAAAGCCCGAGCCTAGCCGAGAAATGAGAACGAGCACACCAGGACTCACACCCGAAGAAGCACCGACTCGACAGCCCAACGACACATGACGATGATGAGATATTAAATCGCAACCACAGACGAGTCGAGGATCGGGGAATTGCGAAAATCTATGGCCAGCCTGCAATCCATCCACAGGACATGCTTGCGGCGTACTTTATTCATACGACAGACACAGAAAAAGCGGAGACTGGGAGTGTGCGGGAAGAGGGGACTGTTGGGGGGGAGTAGAGGACGTCGCTGCCTTGAGCGGGCCTCGAGGAATCTAATCGACTCGCGGCCCGACAGGACAGGACTGCCAACGGTCTTGTGGGGGGATCTGACAGGCGTACCGCGCCATCCATCCATCTATCCGTCCTTCCGTCCGTCCGTCTATCTGTCCATCCATCCGGGGCGGAGCGGGGACGGGGGAGCGGGCGCGGTACTACAATAGTCTAAGAGCATCTTCTAAACGATCACCCGGACGACAACGTACGCCGTCGCGCGTTTCGGGCAGCGCTCGGGGCTCGGCGACGTTCTTCGACGCGCCGGTCGCGGAGAGCGGCAGGTCCTTATTCGCGGGGGAGTCTCGGCGGGCGCGGCTGCGGGCTCCATCGGTTGGACAAAACGGGCGACGGCACAACTTCAGACAAGTTCGGAGGAGGAGAGGTCGGCGCGATGTGGGGACTCGTGGTGGTCGTCTCCACACGGCGCCGGATTCGTTTGGACTGAGCGGGAGCAGGCCGGCCGGCCGGCTGGCGTCGCCGCCGCCGGCTAGCCTCGAGAAACTGCGATGCGCTTCTCTAACTCATGGCACGCGCTGGCTTCGCTGCTACTTGCGCCGATCCGGAGGCTCCGGGACCCCGTCGCGGTCCGGCGATTCGTCGAGGTCCATGACGCCATCTCCGGTCGCTGCGTCGCCGTAGTCGAGCCGTGCGATTCGATCGGCCGTCATCGTCGTCACCGCCGGCGGTTCCTGCATCGCCATCCCCACACTGTCAGACACCAATTCCGAATTCCTTTCCCACCGACGTATATGAATATATGTATGAGACGATAAGTGAGCTCGGATTCGAAGGAATTTTTAACAGCGGGGAACCGTATGCCCCGGCGATGAGACTAATACGATGAAATATTATCACTGAGAATTCATAATCGAAGGAGGAGGAGCTTTGACGTCGATGACTATGGGCTGCTTAATGAGATCACGGTATGCACTTCTGTTTGACAACCCGGTCGAGGGGGGAGCGTGTTCCTTCCACTCATGCCACAGCGAGGCAGACTCGATTGATGCAGGAATCCGGAAGCATGAGACCAATCTATCAGCAAGTCCAACGATCTGAGAGGAAAGTCGAAGAAGAGATCACAGCATGTTGAGACATCTTACAGTATCGGTATCAGTAGACAGCTGCAGCCACTGACTGTCAGAGACGAAGAGAGGCACCCCAATCTCGCAACAAAACGAGCGGCCTTTAAAGAATTCTGTACTTCATGGTGCATCATTAAACCTTCCACTTTTACTCCACTCTGAGGAAACAGCAAGACCGAGCCGGACCAGGCGTTGCCACGGCCCGTATTTCGATCGATCGGCCGGGCAAACTTTGGAGCTTTGGACATGCATGCAGGCCAAGCATGAGAGAATGGTATAAAGCAATGCACCGACCGAAAATGGAGTGAGTCTGACCTTATTCTCGTAAGGTGGCCCGTCATACAGATAGCGATCAGTCCCGGTTGCACTCACGTCATCGTCATAATCATCATCATGCACATTCCGCTCCATCTCCGAGACAAAACGACCTGCTCATGACACCAAACCATCCGCCGACGACGCATGGAAGCAGCGGCGGTCAGGCGCATCTCCATTGAAAACAGAAACCCAGTTGAACATCAGATCTGATTCTGCTCTAGAAAATTGTTACCGTTACATAAAGAGTCAGAAGCTCTCTCTCTCTCTCTCTCTCTCTCTCTCTCTCTCGATGAGGAAGGATGGTGTCACATCGACCCCAGCAGTCAAGAGTCACAGTCCCGGGTGGGCCGTTTGGATGGTACGGGAGCAGTTCATAATGCTCGATCCTCCACAGGCACAGTTGCGGAATTATTCGGGGCACTCACTCACATGCATTCACTGTCGTGAGTTCGGTTCAGCCCTCCGATCGATCACGGTCAGCCCGAGGGGCTGGGTCCGATGGACAACACGTGGTCGACAACGATCAAGACGCTAGAGGATGGTGGTCTTCGCCTGCATACGAGAGAGAGTCCCGTAGGCAATCGATGCAGCTGCCCCGAGTTCAACGGGGAGCGATGTGTCGTCGCTCGCGCCGCTCGGAGTTTCCGGACAGGCCCAGGGCTTGCGTGACGATCTGGAAAGCTAGAAGAATATCAGATTGTATTGACTCTCTTGCAGACCGAGTGAGCATTCCTGCGTCGACTGTATATCAGCAGTGCTATTTCTACCGGCACACTCTCATGACATTTGTAACGATCTAGAAAACTTAAGCCTGTGGAGTGAACAGAAGAGGAATTGTATAAGAGAGGCACCCCACGGAGCTCAGATCTCCCTGATGGTCGGTCTGTCACAACCACACAGAAGGATCAAGAGAAGACGAAGTGAAGTGATATCCGAGTTCACAACGTCGGTGGTTGTGGCATCTGCATACATAATCACGGCGAGTCTAAGATCTGAGAACTGAACTTGTTGCGATGCCAGTCACGAGAACGGTGTTCTCTTCATTGACTGGCCCAAGGCCGGACTAAATTGTGCGGGAGGAGCCTTCGGTGCCCATCTGACTTCCATCTCCAGTGCTAATGAGATATCCGGTCCGCAAGGTCTTTGGTTGCTTCTTCTCCGGAAGTCCATAGGCCTTTCTCGGCAGTGTGGACAATTTATCCACGAAACCCCAAGCCCGATGATAATCCGTTACGCTAATGGAGACGAATCTTAATTGCAGCCATTTGTTGCAGGATGTATCTGATCAGAATGGTATAAGATGCTCACAGTCAGCGGATATAGAACTGTCGAAATGATGGCTTTTACAGCAGCCTTGCTGAGGTCTGCGACACTTTCCTTTCTCTCTCTGATTATTTGGTTGTGCAAAACATGGCGAGCAGAATACGTTTGTGAGAATCGTATGCTGTCAGAGGCTTGAAGAGTCAATATGTCTTGAGGGAATCCCGTCTGAGCATGTTGATTTCACATGTCCAGTCAAGCAACAGACAGTGTTCTGCAGCATGAGTTGAAATGGATAAGCACTGACCGCTTCACAGTTTCCTAGTTAGTGTAGTCGAAAGACAGCACCTCGGTGTTGGCTACTGATCACTCGAAGGTGAGTCAGAACTACCGGAATAATTCCTCGTCATTCGTACAGGAGTAAGCTGCCAATCTGAAGATCCGCTCACGAGAAAGAGCAGACGCTGATGCCATTTCTCCTACTTCAGAGAGTCAACCAGGAAGCAACGTCTCTGAGGAATCTGTCAGATGGTGAGCAGATTCTTTGCAAGTCTACTTGCAGTGATCAAATATGATGCTAGCAACCACAGAGGAACTAGGAGTGGCTCGATAATCGATCCAGCTCCGGCCCACCTGGTGACCGAGACCGCCTCAAACCATGCTTCTAATGAGAAAAGTCTCGTTAAGCCGAATTCATTGGTCCATTCTATTAGAGGGGGAGTTACTCACAGCAGGTCGACGATGTGTCAGAGAGTTTTACTCGGACACAGGCATGGCTGGCAGTCGTCGAGCTCAGAAATTCTTCTCCGACCAACGACAAGTCCCTGATTCAAAGCACCTGCAGCGAAGGAACCAGAAGAACCGGCAGTAGGAATAACAGCAGCAGAAGCAGCAGCAGCAGCAGCAGATCGACTATGGACACTCATCCGCCCGGTAAAGCAAGCTCAATGAAGTCGAGAGAAGAATTTCGAATCCGAACACATACGCCAGTATGACCTCACACCGGAAAGGGGTTCATTCTCCGAAACCGTAAAGAGACAAACCCCATGCCCATGCTCGAACTGTGTGAACTCCTCCGCCATCGCAGGTCCTCTTTATCGGCCCAATTCCCAACGCTTTAGACAAGGAAACAAGACCACCCCTCAGATCCGATTTCTTCCCCGCCTGCCCCTCCTCCCACACCCCTCCCTGGCTCGCTGGCTGCCTAGGCTCAGTCTCAGGCTCAGCTCAGCTGCTGCTAGTAGCCTCCCTGCTGCTGCTGCTGGCTGCTGGCTGCTGGACCCTCTGACTCCACCACAGAGTCTCATCAGAGTCTCCAGGGAAGAAAGCACTTCTGGAAAAGTCCAGGCACGTCCCAGATTTCAGACACTGCCTCTTTTAGCCTGTCACGCGACAAAGTGAGGTGTGACCTGCCGCGGCCGTCCGATTTGGGAATCCGACGGTGTGTGTATAAGTGACATGCTATGGCAGACTCGATCTGTGGTCCCGTAGCTCAACTGCTCCGTGCCCGGCGGCCCGTACTGTCCCGTCTGGGGCCGGGCCCTCGCCCCCGCCCGCCTGCGGTAACTCGCGGAGGAAATCCAGGCTCGAGAGTTAACACGGTTGGCGGGGACGGGACGGGTCGGGTCTGGTCGGGTCGGACCGGGGGGGGAGGGGACGGGCCGGGTTGGGGGTGCTGCGGCTAGGGCCGTCGATGGCAGATCTTCGTCGCCAGCCGCACGGAATGAGGTGCTCAAGATCTCACTCGACCTGCCACGTGGCAGTCGGTGGTGGCGGCCCTGGTGGAACATGGGCGCTTGAAGAAGTCCCACATGCTCCTCCCGCAGGGGCGAGGTTACCTGCTGGAGAGGGTTTGTCGGTCGGGGCGCTTTTCGCCTCCTTCGTTACTCCTCTCGGGTACGGACTCACATGGCTCCACCTAATCGAGGAGCACCTGCCCCTACAGGTCGCTCGGTCACCCGTCCCGCCCTCGCCGCTGCTTCTGCTGCAGCAGCAGCAGCAGCTGCTCCTCGTAGAATTTCGCAAACGTCGACGACGACGACGACCTTCTTCTCGCAGTGGCGTACGATCTCAGACTTCGTATCAGAATGCTTCTCCCCTCGACCTGCTCGAATGCGTTTCGTCGACCTCTCTCTTCTTGCGCCACTACCGATCCCATCATCTCGCGGAAGACGACGCGAGCAGATCCGATCTGTGGCTCGCTGGCTGCCTGGTCGCTCTGTGAGGCTCTCCTGGGCTGGATCCCCGAGGAAGAGGCAGAGGAAGTGGAAGCGCAAGAGAGCTCCAGCTTCCCATTCCAACTTCCAACTGCCGACCTCGCCCTCGCCCTCGCCCTCCCTCCCTCCCTCTCGACTTCTCGAGACTTGAGTCCCGCCCTGGGAATGTCAAAGGCGTGCTGTGTATCCAACGCGCTCGTACAGGACCTCGTGCGTAGCTAGACCGTCTGAGACTCCGAGCGCTTGGGAAAAGCGATACAGTCGTATACAGACTCCTCGTACGTACACGAAGAGGCTTTTCAAACTAGAAATCCAGAAAAGCAATAGATTTGCACGAGATTGACAATAAGCTGGAGCAATATAGCCCCACCACAATTGTTGGAGGAGCAAAGGAACTGGATTATGAACATAGACCCTGATTACGGTCATCGCCAAAGTTGGCGCTGGCTGGGTATTCAGCACTCGGGTCTGTACAGATAATACAGCCATAAAACCTCTTCCTGTCCATGGACGGCAAAGTAGCCGAACCACAGAACCTTCCAGTATTTTCGCTACAGGCTCTATGGCGAAATTACGAGAGTGAGTAGAGCGAGTGTCGATCATCAGATTACACGTGATTTCCCTATAATTCGACCTGCCTTTCCCGAAACGCCCTGCTATCGTTCGAGGAAACGGGGTACGAGATGGCAATCTCAACGTACCAGCAGGTAATCTCATCATCACCACCAGACTGGAGGGAGGGATGGAGGGAGGGAGGGAGGGAGCTAGAGGGACTGGACTATGCGTTTCCGAAACGTAATCTCATCAGCATGAGCAGGCTCCAGAGGCGGGGAGGAGGAGCATCAGTCAAGCGAGAGGAGATTCAAGGATCTGCATATCATATATTCAAATCATTCTGAATCTGTAACGAGTCCGCAGTCCGACCCTCGTTCGCTCCTAGGCTTCGGTTGGTAGAGGGGTTCGGAGCTCAGACTCCAGAACTCGAGTGTGGAGCAGGCCAGGCAGCCAGGCAGCCAGCCAGCCAGAGGGCTTCCACATTAATCATCGCCCGTCCGAGCAGATGAGCACACTGTTAGCGGGTCCACGACTCCACGCACGTCACAGATGGGGATGGCTTGATTCAGCCATCAAAGACAACGTACCACGGCATGACTCAACGGGCCCAAACCAGTACCATCAGGGGCCTACAGGTGTTTATTTCAGCTCTAGAGTCACAGGAGGCGAACGGACGATAGATACTTTGGACTCGTCATAATGGAGGATCCGAGAAGAAGACTACCGTAACAGTAGTAGTGCAACACTGTCAGTCCAAACACCCATCCTAGATCTGCAAACTAAATTGGTACCTTGCCCAGAAATGTGTGCATCAAGTGGTCGATCTTCGGGAATCAGGGACTGAGCTGCCAATGTTCATATTTTTCATGATCACTTTTTCAAACTTGCGGCTTAGATACTCCATCATGCTAATTCGGTACCTTGAACAGAAACTCTCGCCATACTGTAGGAGACTTAAGAAGAAGTGCGTTTGGAGATTCATGGCTCTATCCGTCTCAGCATGGGGCCTAGACCCATCCTACCTCTTTGGTCTCATCCCTGTACGACTCGATGGGGTCCTCCCATGTCCTCCTATATATATTACTCGGGTTTCTCTTGATTTCAGTCTGTTAATTCTACTTACTTCTCCGAGGGTATGGAGTACTGAAGAAGCTCGGCATAGAGATTCCGTATGATGGACCTTGATGATTACCTTTCTCTCTCGGGTCAAAGACGATATCGATCAGACTCAGGCGAATTTAACTCTTGGTTCTGCTATCTTCACTTCCAAGAGGCTCTGGATATTATGCAAGATCTGCATCATTTGCAAGCTCTGGTAGATCGGATCTCCTGCTAAGAGCACTAGCCTTGGAAATCAGGTTGAAGCATGCGATCAATGGTCTGGAAGACACATGACCATAATCGCTGCCCTATTACAGAACGACCTCTTAGCTCTGCTCAAAACTACTCTAGCAACAGACTCATGATGGACCTTTTCCTACCATCTTGAATGTTCAAACTATAAAATTCTCTGACTTTGAGATTTAATACACAAATTCATGTTCTACACATAACATAGTATGCTAATTAAGGGACCAATATGTACAGTCAAACCTGAACCATTCGTTTTCAAGATGGACCAACTTTACTGATCATTTTTTACGAGTGGATAACTCTCAAGAAAACTTATATGATCACTTCAGCACCATGGCTGACTCGACTGATATCATCAGAGAATATCCTTTTATCATTTTAGATTCTAAACTCGTAGAAGTTGCTAACCAAAGAACATGTGAAAGGAGAAAGGGGGACTTGCTCGGCGCATATTCTTTCGGAGGCTTTTCTGGATACAATAATTGAATCGAAAATATTCTGCGCGGAGTATCTCCCCTGTTGTATGATCATATGCTAAAAAGAATGTGGACTTAGAACAACCTCATCCAGGTGCAAATGATACAAGCTCAGACAAAAGTACTTCTTCAACCACGAACTTGAAATTGCTTGACGCTTCAGTTCGATACACTTCACAGCTTTGACATGACATGGTTCTGTTAGTTGGCAAGGATCGACCTTGCAACGACCTTTCAGAAACTGCATAACACTCGACGAAGCTTATAGTTCAGTGCAGTTTATAAAACTTAAACAGGAATTCACTATTTTGGAACAACCTCTTAGAAGTGAATCTGAAAACTTCTCTAGTCGCTCTAGATCTGTCCACTCTAAACCTTCAGTACACATGAAGGATCAGCGCAGATCAAGAACTCTATTCCTAAAGTTAGAAAAACGTTTCATCTGCTGCTCTGTCCCAGATGCTTTTTTTTTATGCTTAGCTGAATTCCTGAGTGCAAATTCCGGGATAAATGCAGTATGCCAATTCACTCCCATATGTTCTATATTTCGAGTGATCTGAATCACGTCCCTTTATATCTTTGGGCGCACTTCCTTTCCAACGTCCGTTCCTCTTCTTGCATGGCTCGCTAGATCTGCACGAACTACCAATATCAGTTCTCGTGAACGCATTGTCTCGTTGTGTGACTCTTGTGAATCATTTGAAGCAGTGGTACCTGTGTTTCTACGAAACTCCGGGCGACGAAGTACGTAGCTGACAGAAAATCGGCTCTTTAACTGCTAAGTGTAGCTCTAGGATCAGCACCAACATTCAACGTGAAGAAAGGACTCTGGCGTCCATTCGATTGCCCATGGGCAAGGGTTTCTTCGATAGAGATTATGACTGTCAATGAATATGATTACCTCATATTATTCTGATGGGATGTTACGCAAGTGCATGCGCAGCACCTGGAGATTCATTGTGCAGGAGGCGATTCCCTTTCTTCAGATTTGTAAGAGATATTTTCAACAAGTAAAGACTCTGCAACATTGTCAGCCTTATGCCTCTTTAGTCTAGAATTATCTGCAGTATATAGTCTAGAGGCGAGGTCAATACCCATGAGATGGTACAACAAAGGAGTTTGTACCTTTCTGATTCCTTATATCATGTAAGCTTTGGTTGCATGTGTCGTAGGTAAGTTGTGCAATTCTCTTCGACTTGAATCAGTTCTGCAGTGAACCTTTTTTTCGCATAGAAAAATATGCTTGCATAGCCACGCCCTGATTGTGCTGATGGCACACCTGTTCAGAATCGATGCACATTCATTCACATATGCTATTGTATCGTTTTAAATCTATTCCTCGCATGCCACATCAGTAAGGTCTGTGGTGCTAAACACTCAAGAAAAGTCTGATCTCGTCTATTTAATACTCACAGAAGAAAAATATGTCTTACATTTCTAGGTCTAACGGGTGACCCAGCCCTTAGAGAGCTTCATCGTGCAGAGATAACAATAAATTATGATTACTGAGTCA